GGGGGGGAATGTACATGTATAAGGCCGCTATGTGTACATGTATAAACACTACATACATATATATATATATTTATACATAATATACATTCTAAAGCTACCAGACCACCACCGCCTCTCTGCCACCATCATCCCAGGATGGCTCTCTTTGCAGCCCCCAATCAAAGACCAGCCCACTTTCCATTTTTTTTGGGATCTCAAAACAAGCAGAATCTGATTTTGTACAGACCTGGCCACCAGGGCTATGGTTGTCAGGAGCCCCCAAAGAGGGGACCCCTGCAAATGGTTTGACCCTATGAGCCCTCAGCCCTTTTTAGCCCCCAATAGACCCCAGTAGTTGCTATGAGCCCCTGTTAGGATTGGGGGGCCCCCTATTAGTGATATAGGAGACCAGGGATACAAACTGAGCCGATAGGCCGCTGGTGGTACGTGCTGCCTGACTGGCCCCCCCGAAGCTTCGACTATGACGCGGCGCTGGCCCGGCGAGGAAACGCTTCGAAGCTTGGGGCCGTGGCCGGGGGTTTAGCCGGGTGTTTCCCCACAGGAAAAATGCATACAAATAAATACACAAATAAATACACAATTTAATACATACATATATATGGCACCCCTCTGGAATACACAGGTTTTCGTTCAAAAATGATATTTTTGCTGTAAAAAATGCACGTAACATGCACTTTCCAGCTTCTACAAATGATGCTCAAAAATGCACTCTTTTGTAGACCGAAATTGTAGCATCAGTACTTAGTGCAATCCAGGATGTGCTAGCACGTGCTAGCACATCCTGGATTGAAGATTGAAGATTGAAGATTATCTGGCAACTCTTGCCGAGATTCTTCAATCCTGCACTCAGGGGAATCCAGATGTGCTAGCGCGTGCTAGCACCTCCTGGATTGAAGATTGAAGATTGAAGATTCTCTCGAAACTCTTTCTGGGAATCTTCAATCTTCAATCTTCAATCCAGGATGTGCTAGCACGTGCTAGCACATCTGGATTCCCCTGAGTGCAGGATTAAAGAATGTCGGCAAGAGTTGTCAAATAATCTTCATTCTTCCATCTTCAATCCAGGATGTGCAAGCACGTCTAGCACATCCTGGATTTCATTAATTGATCCTAGAATTTAAGTCCATCAAGGACGATTTTTGGTCGGAGCATCATGTCAAAGCTGGGAAGCGCATGCTGCCAGCATTTTTACAGCATACATGTTCGTCTGTGAACAAAAAGCCTGAGTACTTCCTATTGGATCAAACCACTGATGCAATCCACAATGAAAGCCAGGTCGCAATGTGCAGCCGCGCAGCATCAATACACTTCTCCGCTTCATTTCTGCTTCAGTCCATTCTTGCAATGTCGAGGATGAACATCAGTGGGATCGCCGAGCTTGGCGAAGGCCTCGTGACGCTGCAGGTGGCTCCATCTCAGCTCCACCTGGACCTGCTGATCACCCCAGGTTTAGGACCCGCATCCCCAGACCCACCGGCACAGAGATCATCCAAAAGGTCAATACTGTTGAGATTCCAGTGTATCCATCGCGTCACCCCATGAGTTGCCAAGATGCGACCCACGCAATGGGCAATATCCAGCGAGTCATGCTCATCACGCCAGGTGCTCGCGGAGATTGGTACGCAGAGGCAGACCAGCGTCTTGGCAAGCTTCTTGCCAAGCCAAAAGCCGGTCGAGCTCTACTACAAACCCAAGCGTCAGCTGTGCTGGCAATCAGCAGTCCCAGAGCCAGCAGTCCCAGAGCCAGCTGTCCCAGAGCCAGCAGTCCCACAGCCAGCGGTCCCAGAGCTAGCAGGGCCAGAGCCAGCCAAACCCGTCATTGTGGAGAAGGCGGACTCGTCAAGTGCCTCGCGGTCTTCGTCTCACTCAGCGAAGCCTGCGGCTCCAAACAAGGCTTCGAACGCAGAGTTGATCGTGGCCAAGGCTGCCCGCATCCCGGCTGAGTTCTGCTTGCGTGGCCCAGGACTTGCCTCAACCCAACTCTACAGGCGCGGGTGAAGGCCATGATGCCACTGCTGTAGACGAAAATCAAGCCGACGAAGAAGAGGCCAGACTTCATGGTGATGTGTGACTTGTGAGATGCTAAGTGCTCCGCCCCTGGCAGAATATGAATCGCGGCAAGGCAAAACAAGTTGCGCGCACATGTGCTTTAGGATGTGATGTGATTTAGTGTGACAACGCTTCCTTGCCACAAAAGTCAGTCCTTCTGCTTGTTCTCGCATGCCTTCCCCTGCCAATGGAGTGGCCCCCAAGCGTGGCAAGCTTCGAGTAGTGCACAAGCGACCTGCCTCCAACAAGTCCCAGGAGTACAAGAAGGTGAAGTATGTTCGTGTGCCTCGCGATGTGCCCGCAGCAGGTGTTCGAGGAGATCGGCCTTCGTGGCGCACTCTGAAAGAGATTTTGAGCGCCAGCGACAAGAAGATCATCCAAAAGCTGCAGCAACACGGTCTCCTTCCCAAGTGGGACAAAAAGCATTGTCCTTGATGCTGGAAGAGCTACCTGACCACCAAGACACACCAAGGCCTGCCGCAGTACCAGTGCCGTGGATGGAAGTGCCGCCATTTGGTGCAGCCGCAGCACTTGGCATCAGGCCGTGGGCAGTCCTATCTTCCGTTGCAAACTCACGCGGCTGTCCTCTTCGTGCTCTTGATCGGGCACTCACCCGCAGCCACAGATAAGGCTCACATTGGGTGTCAATGACAAGGTGGTGGAAGAGATGTCGAGTCGACTGGCAAGAACAAGACAAGCCTATGTCGAGGCAAAGGAGAAGACCAGCGTCTTTGGAGGCAAGAGAGCCTTGGCCGACGTTGAGGCTGACGAGTGCACGTTCGATCGAGGAGGTACAAGGCAGCCATCATCGACGGGAAGTCCATCCTATATAAAAGCAGCGCAGCGGCCTTCTTGCACGTGGAAAGCGATCTACGCTGGTGCTGTCGCGCTTGAACCCGGCATTGACGGTGAAGCGGGCGCCAGGCCCAGGAGCAATCCGGAAGGTTGACTGGACTTGCTTGCTTGTTTGTTTGTTTGTTTGTTTGTTTGTTTGTTTGTTTGCTTGTGTGTACTTGCTTGCTTGCTTGTCTGTACTTGTGTGTACTTGTGTGTACTTGTTTGTACTTGTGTGTACTTGTGTGCTTGCTTGCTTGCTTGCTTGCTTGCTTGCTTGCTTTCTTGCTTTGTTTGTTTGCTGGCTTGATTGTTTCTTTGTTTGCTTATTTGTGCGTGTGTGTGTGTGTGCGCGTGTGCGTATCGCGCGCGCGCGCGTGTGTGTGTGTGTGTGTGCTGTGTGCGTGCTGTGTTGCCCGTTGTGTTTTGTGCGTTGTGTTTTGTGTGCTGTGTTTATCAAGGGTTCTGTTCTCAATTTGGCTGGTGCCAATATTTTGACACAAAAGGGGGCTGACCACACAATAATGCCGAGGAGGCACTCTGGTGTAACCATGCCAAAATCCACTCTCCACATACCAGCGTCACTCAGAGTTGCTTTGAGCCCAAGCCGGTCAAACGCCGTTTGGATTGGACTGGGTTGAAGGCTTGGCTTTTCTTGTTTTCTTGGGTGCTTCCCAAACAAGGCACCCCCCTCAAACAAACAACATGCTTGGTTTCCTCTTCTTTCTGTTCTTGATTTTTCCGATCTTCAACCCGGGGCCTTTGGAGTCAAGCTCCAAGCCAGCGGGCGAGCGGAATTTGGGCCGTGAGATGGTTTACGGGAACCATGACCATGTCGGCCTTTTCGGAGTTTTGACCATGGCTCATATGAACTTATAAGAACCCTCTTTTGGATCGGTTTTTCAAAGCCGAAACACAAGTAGCTGTCGCCATTCTCCTGGTTCTCATGTTTTCTATTTTCCTGGTTCTCAAGGAACGAGGGACTGACCACCTTCGGCATTTTTTGCGTTTCCCCTTAGCCGGATCTTCTTGCTCATTCCCTAAACCCGGAGATGCCCTGAGAACCAGTTCCTATTTTTGGGGGGACGCCGCATGGATTTCTGTGGGCGCGCAGGCTATCGCCAGGTGCCGGTGGAGGTCTTTGAGTCAGAGCCGGAGGGGGAGTTGAGGCCTGGGGTTGGGTCAAGGGCCCCCCCCGGAACTCTGCAGTGCGGTTCACTGTGATGCAGATTCGTCCCCATTCCTCGGCAACGCCTCGGGTTTTTTTGTTGCAGAATGGAGCATGGTGTTCAAACATAGCCTTTCCAAGGCAGTGTGGCTAAGCAGAACCTCAGAAAAGGATATTTTGTTGGTGAATTTTTGTCCCTAGGAACCCTTTTGCAAGCGGCAAAAGAGGGCGATCGGAATGTCAAGGCCTGGCGCTTGCGGCCCTCGCAAAACCAGGATCAGTACTTTTTCTTTGCAGCCGGCCAAGTTGTCGTGTGGATCCGAAAGGGTGGGTTTTGCATGTCAACAACACTGGAAGGCCATACACGTTCAATGCGAAATGACGAGTGGCGAAATGGGCAAATGACGAGCTTTGGAACGAGCTCACCTGTGAAGTTTCCCTTGGGCAGTTCGATTTCCAATTTGATCGAATAGCAGAAAGGCCCAGAGTGGTGCCACATGTGAGTTGGAATTTAACCCGATACATTGCCACTGCTCCCTTGCATTTGGGTGTTCATGTTTTCTTTGAAGCCCTTCTGTCGTAAGCTCAGCAACCCCTTCATTCGTGGTTTGGATCGGTTTGAGGATTTGAACCCTAGTTCCTTTTGAATCAAATGGCACGAAACCAAAACGACCAATTAGGAGCAAGTGATAAGCAGTGCTCGAAGCACATCAATGGCCACCACCTAGGTGCCAAGACCAGGCCAAAATTACGAGCACCCGCGCGGGTGTATGAGAGTTGGCTTAGTGCACCGCGTTTGCCTTGCTTTACAGGGAAAGGACAGCCACCAATCTTGGGTCCGCCCTTTTGCCACATACTTCAGATATTCAATCGAGCTTTGGCTATGTCACGTCCGTCAGACATGCATCTTTGCTCTGGCCGCATTTTCGTCCCTTTTATCTTCCTCCAAACCTTCGGCTTTGGATTCTGGAGGCGGACTTGAATGAGCTAGTGAGCTGAAAGTTGATGCATCCCGCCCGAACATTCGAGTCGGCGAACTTCCTCGTTGCCTTTCTTTCCGAAATCTAACAAAGTGCTTGTGGCTCAATTACCTTTCAGTTCACCAAGCACCACTTGGACTCAACTAATGTGGGCTACAACCAAGGGTGATTCTGAATTTCCCTCTGCCCCTCGGGCTTTGAGCATCCAAGTGAAGCCCTCGCAGAATGTAGCCGTGATCATAAGGCATTCCCAAGCCTTCCAAAGACCTGATGAAACTGGGCTGTAGTGGAAAGACCTGCTTTACCCTCCTATTTTTTTTCTGGCGGGTGAAATCTGGTTGTGGACTTCCTGCAAGTATAAACCCAGCTGTTGAGCAAGGCGGCAGGCCGCAAACCCATCCGAAAAGTTGAACCGTTTGAATGGAGGAAGTGCTTCCCCCTCTCCGGCGGCTATCGGGGCCTCTTTAGAGACGAGCAGGGCCTTCTCATCGATGCGCGGCAGCCAAATCAATTTGGCCAGCCAGGACGACTCAACCTCCCGGTGATCAACATGCTTGCTTGTTTAGGATTCGTATGATTGAGTCATCGGAACTGCCCAAGGTGTTTTCGGGCAAGTGGGAATTTGAGGGGTCTAAATGATTACCACCATTCAAACTATTAGCGCCCTACAATGAATCCGTGGAATAGGCACTATGGCAAGAGCCCTTCGCATGAGGAGTGTTGGCTTCTGACTCAAATCGAACCAAGGTGACTGAGGAGGTGGTGTTTCCAAGCCAACTTGGATCCCCAAAAGGCCAACCTGCCCCAGGATGGCGGCCTTCCTGTAGTTTTCCCCCTGGTGTCCCCTCCTAAATTATGCGGCTGTTGGGGTAGCCGAACTCTGAAGCAGATTCTGAACATATCATTCTTGGGTACCTTGGGGTACCCTGTTGGGCGCCATTCGGGTTCAGGTTCGGCCTGTGGAAGGGCGGCCCTCCTACGACCAGCTGATGCTGAGGAGACCCGACGTTTGCGTCGAAAGGCCGTTTCGGGCTTTCTCTGTCTGATCCGAATGCTCCCAGCTCGTTTTTGCGGCTGGATTCGCCTTTGCACTTCGCGATTTCGGAGTTGACCTTCCCTGCCTTTTCCTTGCACACGTTCCATGACCATCTTGCCAGTAAATCGGACAGTGGGCATCCAAAAGGAAGCTCCTGACATTCGCCCATAGCTTGCAGCTGAGCAAGACTCTGCTTCATCCAGCGGGGTCTCAGCGGTGATCTCCCTGTGAGGTTCGGTCGGAATGGCCCAGTCTATCCATTTGACGGCTGCATATTTTGACCCTGGCTAAGAGGAAACGCTTGGCCAACTTGCTGGACTCCTCCCGAAGGCCTGCGCTTTGAAGCCAATGACAGGATTTCTCATCAGATCCAATTTGATTGGTAACCTCTTTCCAAGTATGTTTTAACGTTTAAGTTGTGTTTAGGCTTTAGACACAATTCAATACTGGGCTAAAGCGTTAACCGTAGGTGGTCGCTTGTCTTGACTCTTAATAAGTATCCACTTGGGCCACCATTTTGGCTCAAGTGGACCTTTTGATCTTTTGTCTTGTGATTTGAAATCTTTCTTTCCCCTACTCTCAAAGCCATGTACGCCCCCGCCTACGCTGGTGCCGCGGTAGCAGAGGCCAAGGCTAAGGCAAAGGCCTCCATGGCAAAGTACCTGGCGAGCCTCGTGAAGAGGGAGGAAGAAGGATGGACCGTTTTGGCTGCTGAGGTCCCTCAGGCACCTGACGAGCGTTTCTTCTCCAGCGCAGATGAGCTGGAGCAGGCCCCCCTTATCCCGGCCAAGCGCAAGGCAGAGGATGAGCCGATGGAAGATGCAGCCCCTGGGGTGGCGCAGGTGCCGAAGGCCCTGACACGCCCCCCAGGGGCGTTCCTGGAGCTCCTGAACCCGCCGGAGGAGGACGTGCCCATGGAGGAGCTCCTGGCGAAGGACGAGAAGGAGCTGCCGATGCCCAGGTCCCCCTCGGCTGCAGCCCGCTTGGAGGAGGCCCGCCTGGATGCCCGGGCAGACGCCAAGTGGCAGAGGCGCCGGGAGCTGATGGCGAAGGTCAAGGAGCAGGCGTCCTCGGAGGAGGATGAGAACCCCGCAGCCCCCCCGCCGGGGGGGAGCGTGTTCACCAAGGCCCTCAAGGTCTCGGAGGGCCTCTACCAGTTCAGCGACGACCAGATGGCGGGCGACTTCCCTTGCTTCGATGCGACCACGGCCACTAGGCTCCGCCGACTGCAGGCCAAGGACGTCCAGCGGCTCCTGCGAGGCTTTGAGGGCCCCCAACTCAAGCAGGGGGGCCTGGAGCGCGTTGTGGAGGCCTTCTACATCGCCAAGATGAAGTACGAGCATGAGGCCCGGCTCAGCACCCCGGGACAGCAGGTTGGCAAGCGCGCTGGCTTGGGGTACGGGGGCCTGGAGAACCGCCCCCTGGGCAAGGTGCCCACATCCTGGATCTGCCCCTGCTGCACCATGCCCTGGGTGAAGAAGGGCGCCACGAAGTGCATGGGGTGCGGCAAGAAGACGGAGCCCATTGACACGGCGACCAACTCGGCCACCCTGGAGATGGCGGGCACGCATTGGCAGTTGACGGTGGATGACCAGGGCAATGCGGTCTGGACGGCGGCCCGGTCCGCGGGTGCCGAAGGCCCTGACACGGACCGGGCCCGCGACCTCAAGCTCAGTGCCTCGGTGGACGTCAGCGAGCTGGCCACCGACCCGATGGCCTGCGAGAACCCGGACCAGGCCAGCTTCTCGGACTTCGTCCCCTCCTCGGTCCGGGCGGTGATCAGGAACTGCCCCATGGAGCTGGACGAGGAGTTTCTGACGGCCCCACCGGGGGAGAGGCCCCCATTGCCAGGCGACAAGGAAGAGGGCCAGGAATGCAGAGCCTTCCACCCGTCTGCGGTGAAGGCCTTCAAGATTCAGACCCGGCTCAACGCCACCACCATCGCCCAGGAGGAGGCCAAGAAGGCGGACCAGGTGGAAGCGGTGGAGCGCTCCGCGGCGGTCCTCCACGAACTTCAAGGGGGGGCCATTGACGGAGGAGGTGATGGAGGCCTGCTCCTGAAGAACCTGGACTTGGACCTCTTCCGTGAGAAGCTGCTGGACAAGCTGGGTGCGGACTGGGGGAGACCCACACCGGAGCTCCTCCAGGCCCAGACCACTGCGGAGGAGGCGAAAGCGAAACACCAAGCCAGACAGGCGAAGGGCTCCCTCGAAACCAGAATGCTCGAGCCCATCGCGCCTCCCTTCAGTGCGTGGCCTAGTGAGGTCCGGGTCGCCATTGAGACTGGGGTCTTCGAGCCGACAACGGCATGGAGGGACTTCAGTATGGACGACCTCACATCCCTCACGGACTCCTACCTTGAGGCCAAGGCGGTCATCTCGCTGGGTAGGAATCCCTTCCCGGCGGCCACAGGGATCCCCATGCCAAAGGCGGGGGGCTCTGGTGCGGCGCGGCCAGGTGCCGAGGGCCCTGACAGGCCGCCCACCATCCCCCCAGCCTCGGGCACTCTGGCGTGACGAGCTCAGGTGCCCAAGCCGTCCGCCACCCCGGTGGGCCTGGACACCAAGGACCCGGAGGTGCAGCTCTCGGTCCTGCGCTGGATGATGAGCAAACGGGTCGGAGAGGTCCGTATCTTTGCGGGCCGCTGGGTCCGACGACCGGGCCCGGTACACGTCCCGGATTGGGCGAAAACCTCACCAAGGTGAATCCGGAGGCGTTGGAGAAGGGTACGCATCCCAGGAACCACCAGGTGGGTGGACTCCCCTGGGCCAGGTACTCCGTTGATGAGTTGCACCAGCAGGCGAAGGCGGGGGACCGACCCTACCCTGGGGACCTGCGATCCATCTTTTGGGCTGCCCCCCACGATCCGGATGAGGACTTCCACTGGACGCGGAGTGGCGATTGGTCTACCGGGCCATGGGCAAGGTCCTCGCGGCCCGGGCCTTCCTCACGGACACCCCGGTGGAGGTGATGCAGCTCCCGGTCCAGGACGTGGCGGACTCCAAGGAGCAGATGATCCTGCGGGCGGTATGCGACGAGCGCATCTCGGTCCCGGTGGAGAGCCTCCAGCAGTTCCCAGAGGTGTACAAGGCCCTCATGGACCGCATTGGAGGCCCGGGGGCCCTGGCGGAGGTGAAGGTCAACTGGCGCTGCAACACGAAGCAGTGGTGGGTCGGCGCAGTCCCCGACTCAGTGGCCCCCTCCATCTACCGCAAGCTCGGCTACACCAACGACATGATCAAGCTGATGGGCCTGGACCCCTCCGCCCCTGGGTGCCGGACAGGTGCCGATGGCCCTGACATCCGCCCCAGGGGAGGCGAGGGCGATGAGGGGATCGTTTACCCCCCCATCACGGCGGACAACGTCCACGGCGTGGTGGGTAAGGACTACCGGAAGAAGAACTATCCGGTGGAGATGAAGCATGTCTTCTGGGCGCACATGGAGTGTGGCCTGGTCCTGAGCTCCGTCACCCCGTGGGAACTCATCCCGAAGACAAAAGGGGAGACCCGGGGGGGCTACATGTGCAAGTATTGTAAGGGGTACTGGCGTGCCGGGGGAGGGGGCACCCGCCTCCTCCAGATCCGGGCCGGCAAGGCCATCTTGCAGCTGGTGTTGGACGAGCCGCCGGAGGGCCTCTACAACCGCTGGGTGAAGGAGCGGCTGGAGTACTACCGCCGGGTGGAGCCCTCGGCCCCGTTGCGGGACGTCTCCATCGTGGACCAGAAGGTGCCCAGGTTCAGATTCAGCCAGACCACCCAGACAGGCCACGTCTCCAATGCCATCTGGGAGCTGATTCTGCGGAATCCGGAGGCTGCTGCGCTCAAGCGCATCGATGACATCGCGAAGGGGGCCGCGTGATGATGCGGGACAACGCCATCTTCCGGCACACCATCCAGGACCGCGGCCATCCGGAACGGATGCGCAGCGCACCCCGGGGGGGGGACAGCTGCCGAAGGCGCTGATATCCCCCCCCAGGGAACAGCGCAGGCCCAGACTTGCACCAGGCGAGGAAAATTGGCGCGGCTTGGGCTGATCCGGGGTGCGCCTTGGTTCCCCTCTCTTGTTTGGTTTTCCCTTTTCGGGGCGGCTCCCTGGGTCCCCCTTTTTTCCCCCGTTTCCTCCGTTTCGGGGTTGACTTTCCGGGGTTTTGGGGGGCCCCCTGTTGTTTGGTTGGGGTTTGCACCTAGGGACTAGGCCCCCGGCTCGAGTGGATCATGATGATGTGGAGGCCCCGCCTCCCTTCCCCGTTTGGGACGACCTTCCTAGGGGCGCCAACCGCGCTCCAGTTGATTTTGCATGACCTTGGATTTGCACCAGTGCAGTCGGACGGGGAAATCCTCGTGGCGTGCTGCCTGGAATGGGTCAAAAAGGACAAGGTCGCCAACCCGGATGCGGTGGTCTTTGACCCGCGGCCGTGGACACGGATCGTGGGGCTGGCACCTGACGGCAACCACGTCCTGGTGGCCTCGGACACCTACAACTTGATCCTCGCGAGGATACTCGGCTCCCAACCACAACCGCTGGAGGAGGCGGATTTGGAGCTCGCTACTAAGACCCTGCAACAACTTCTGTTTCGTGCGGCAGGCGCCAGGCAATCGCACACCTATTCTCCACTGGAAATGGAACAGGCCATCCGGGACCGCGAAGAGTGGATCCTTTCCGGATCGATTGAGGCCCCGGATGTCCTGGCAGTGGCCAACAAGTGGCGGCATTGGAAACCAGGGAAGATCAAAACCCAATTGCCGACATCTCAGAGAGCGTTGGAACAACACTTGAGGGCCAGGTGGTTGGAACGCCTCCTGGGATACTTCATCCCCTTCCGGCACCAGATCCCCTACATGCACCAGGTGATGGGGGCCAGGGAGCTGGAGGAGTTTGGCCACCTCTTTGGTGATGCCCGGTTCCGTACCATCCGGGCACACTGCTTGGCCTATGAGGGCATGCGCAAGATCGGCTTCCAG